AAGTATTCAGCTTCTGACAATGTAACTTTCTAATCAAAAAGCACTTCAGAGTCTGAAAAAAACACTCAGTTTCTAAAAAAACAAACTAAGTTATTAAAAAGTACTTCAGCAACCGAAGAAAACTATGCAGTTTCTAAAGGAAGTTATTTTTAATAAAGTGTAATTCAGAGACTGAAGAAAACCTCATTTTCTGAAAAAAGTTATCATTATTAAAATGTAATTCAGAGACTGAAGAAAACTATTCAGTTTCTGAAGAAAGTTATTATTATTAAAATGTAATTTAGAGACTGAAGAAAACTATTCAGTTTCTGAAGAAAGTTATTATTATTAAAATGTAATTTAGAGACTGAAGAAAACTATTCAGTTTCTGAAGAAAGTTATTATTATTAAAATGTAATTTAGAGACTGAAGAAAACTATTCAGTTTCTGAAGAAAGTTATTATTATTAAAATGTAATTTAGAGACTGAAGAAAACTATTCAGTTTCTGAAGAAAGTTATTATTATTAAAATGTAATTTAGAGACTGAAGAAAACTATTCAGTTTCTGAAGAAAGTTATTATTATTAAAATGTAATTTAGAGACTGAAGAAAACTATTCAGTTTCTGAAGAAAGTTATTATTATTAAAATGTAATTTAGAGACTGAAGAAAACTATTCAGTTTCTGAAGAAAGTTATTATTATTAAAATGTAATTTAGAGACTGAAGAAAACTATTCAGTTTCTGAAGAAAGTTATTATTATTAAAATGTAATTTAGAGACTGAAGAAAACTATTCAGTTTCTGAAGAAAGTTATTATTATTAAAATGTAATTTAGAGACTGAAGAAAACTATTCAGTTTCTGAAGAAAGTTATTATTATTAAAATGTAATTTAGAGACTGAAGAAAACTATTCAGTTTCTGAAGAAAGTTATTATTATTAAAATGTAATTTAGAGACTGAAGAAAACTATTCAGTTTCTGAAGAAAGTTATTATTATTAAAATGTAATTTAGAGACTGAAGAAAACTATTCAGTTTCTGAAGAAAGTTATTATTATTAAAATGTAATTTAGAGACTGAAGAAAACTATTCAGTTTCTGAAGAAAGTTATTATTATTAAAATGTAATTTAGAGACTGAAGAAAACTATTCAGTTTCTGAAGAAAGTTATTATTATTAAAATGTAATTTAGAGACTGAAGAAAACTATTCAGTTTCTGAAGAAAGTTATTATTATTAAAATGTAATTTAGAGACTGAAGAAAACTATTCAGTTTCTGAAGAAAGTTATTATTATTAAAATGTAATTTAGAGACTGAAGAAAACTATTCAGTTTCTGAAGAAAGTTATTATTATTAAAATGTAATTTAGAGACTGAAGAAAACTATTCAGTTTCTGAAGAAAGTTATTATTATTAAAATGTAATTTAGAGACTGAAGAAAACTATTCAGTTTCTGAAGAAAGTTATTATTATTAAAATGTAATTTAGAGACTGAAGAAAACTATTCAGTTTCTGAAGAAAGTTATTATTATTAAAATGTAATTTAGAGACTGAAGAAAACTATTCAGTTTCTGAAGAAAGTTATTATTATTAAAATGTAATTTAGAGACTGAAGAAAACTATTCAGTTTCTGAAGAAAGTTATTATTATTAAAATGTAATTTAGAGACTGAAGAAAACTATTCAGTTTCTGAAGAAAGTTATTATTATTAAAATGTAATTCAGAGACTGAAGAAAACTATTCAGTTTCTGAAGAAAGTTATTATTATTAAAATGTAATTCAGAGACTGAAGAAAACTATTCAGTTTCTGAAGAAAGTTATTATTATTAAAATGTAATTCAGAGACTGAAGAAAACTATTCAGTTTCTGAAGAAAGTTATTATTAAAATGTAATTCAGAGACTGAAGAAAACTATTCAGTTTCTAAAGAAAGTTACTGTTACTGAAATGTAATTCAGAGACTGAAGAAAACTATTCAGTTTCTGAAAAAAGTTACTGTTACTGAAATGTATTTTATAGACTGAAGAAAGCCTTTCAGTTTCTAAAGAATGTTACTGTTATTGAAACGTAATTCGGAGACTGAAGAAAAGTATTCAGCTTCTGAACAATGTAACTTTCTAATTAAAAAGTACTTCAGAGACTGAAAAAAAACTATTCGGTTTCTGAAGAATATAATCTTGTTATTAAACAGTACTTCAGGGTACTAAAGAAAACTGTCATGTGTCTCAAATCAACATTGTTTTTAAAAAGTAACTCAGAGACAGAAAAAAGTATTCAGCTTCTGAACCATATAACCATATTAAGAAGTACTGAAAAAGACCATTAAGTTTTTGAAGAAACAAACTTTATTATTAAAAAGTACTTCAGAAACCGAAGGAAACTAGTCAGTTTCTGAACAAAGTCTCTGAAGTATTGTGTAGTAGTAAAGTTACTTTCTTCAGAAACTGAATAGTTTTCTTCAGTCCTTGATGTGCTTTTTAATAACAAATTTTTCTTCAGATTCCGAATAGTTCTCATCAGTCTCTAAAGAAACTATACTCGGGTGGTTAAAGACTGAATAGTTCTTTTCCGTACATAAACTACTTTTTAATAACAAAATTGTCTTTCTAATAACAAAGTTACCTTCTTCAGAGACTGCATAATTGTCTTAAATCCTTGAATTACTTTTTAATAACAAGTTGTTCTTTAGAGACTCAATAGTTTTCTTTAGGCTCCAAAAGCGCGACACTGATAATTCGAAGCACTTTTTAATAACAAGTTTATTTTGTTCAAAAACTGAATACTTCTCTTCAGTCCCTGAATAATCGGATAATTTTCTATTATTTTATTTTATATTTTTTTTTAAACAAGAGGCTCTATTAAAATAGTATTTAAAACAAGTAAATAAAATACGGTAATAAAAATATAATTTTTATATCGTAATATTCAATAGATGCTATAAATTTAAAAACATAATTTTGTACTATTTCGTCACGAGTGCTTTAACTGGATTTATACCATTTTCTATTTTGGGCAAATGACAGCACAAACACATTGTACATATTTTACTAGTATCCTAACAAGTTTTTATATAGTTTTTTTCTCGATTTGACGAAAGATAACTTCGGCGAAGACTGTGATAAACAAGTGCAAACGAAAGGACAGGTAGTAGTAGGGATACAGCAACGATAAGCAAATAATGCATCTGGGCCGGCTCCTTTCGCTAAATGTCTAAATGAATCATTCGAGTTCGCTTTCGGTTAAAAGCCCGTGCTTTTGGTTTATTGTGTAAATTCGTGATTTGAAACATTTATTCTAATCGAATTTTTGTTTCTGGTGAGAACGGTGCAGTGTCATTTTACATTTAACAAGAAAGGAATATACTGGGTACTGTCTTGTTTCGTGTGCCATTCAAGAAAAGGTACGTTTTAGATATAATGGTAAAGATTTTTGTGTAGATATATGCAGGTAATTACAAGCACGTAGCCCAGGAGGAGGAGGGGATATATGAGATCACTCCCTACCCAAAATGGGACAATTTCTGGTACATTTGGGATTTCCTATGATAAAGTCTTTTTAAAATTTATCAGAAACTTTTTAAATTTTAGACGGTTTTACTACTCAACCTAGGTATGGGAAACGAAGAGAAAATGTAAATGTAATCTAATTTTAGGCATTTGATTGAAGACATTGTATTCCTAAGAAATTGTAGCTTACATTTTTGTAGATGTCTTTATCATTAATAGGTTTAACTGATCGGTAGTTATTGGCGTTATTATCAGAAATGTGAATTATTTGAAATACTCGCATTTAAAATGCAAATACAAAATATACCTACTTTTATCTTGCATTTAAATACTTTTCTGAGAAAAGCATTTTGTATTTTATTTAAAATACTTTTCCAAACGTATTTTCTATTTGTAAAATGCAAAATACGTTTTTGCCGTTAAAAGTTTTGCTAGTATCACCGATCAAACATTATATTATGAATGAAAGTACAGTACAGAGACATTCCATGAAATTGTAAACTCCTTGGAAATGGATAATCTAAAAAATTGGATCGATATTGTTTTCCGGGTTCAGTGTAAGGAATTACGACAAAACAGTCCGCAAAACAATATCGAACTGATATAAGATATTGTGGTGTACTAATAAATGCCTATACTTAATCCAAAATTCTTAGAAAACGATTCGAAAAACTTCACTTGTTAGATGAACCCAAACCTAAAGAAACTATGGATTCAATTTCGTTCTCTTATTAAAATGTCTGAAAGATCAGAAACAAAATGGGGTTGTAAATATTTTGATATAAAATGATTGAACTTCATTTTACATCAATAAAATTATTCTCAACCCTATTTTAGCTCTGATCTTTCACACTAAACAAACTATTTTGGCATCAGTGTCTTTTTTTTCAATTAAAACCGGTGACAAAGGCAAATAAGTAAGAAAGTAGAAGAACAATTTGTTGCTGAACTGAAGAAACTAAAACAAGTGAAGTTTTAAATGTTAAATAAAAAAGACATCAATTTCTAATAGGACTTCACAAATTAACAGTGTTCTCTATTAATTATATCTTCTACGATTAAGTAGAAGTTTCATTTAACACAAACTAAACGATGTTTGTGTTATTGTATCTTATTAATTATTGATTTTGGTTGACTAATTAGCAGGTATTTAATCCCATCAAAACATTCTTTATTTTTTATAGTAATTTGAGTTTGAGAAACTATTTTGGTTCAATGATCTCTAAAAAATGAAAGATTTAATTCTACAAATTAATAAAATTAAGTGACCAAATAATAATTTTGTCTTTTTAATTACTTTTAGATGGGATGCCAAATTCCTTCAACCCTTCTTAACTTTTTCATACCATTTTTCAATAGATCATTTGTTAATAATTATTATTATTTTTAAAATAGAAAGTAATTGAGGGTATGAAGAAGTCTTCCTCAATTTCTATTGAAATTTAAATTATTTTCTCCTGTAATATGCACGAAATATTTCAAAAATTTTTTAAGTAGGACAATAAGTAAAACGTAGGTACGATTACATTAATAATATATTTCGTTACAAAAGCACACCTTTATATATAAATTCATGAATATAATATAATACATTTTTACATGTTGCACATTTTCCATCACAGATTATCTCTTAATTCGGTAGATATTGATACATGTATACATTTAGATAAAAGTTGCATGTGATAAGTAGTATTATTCTTAATCCCTAGCAGTCATGTCTTATAGGTACATTTGTGTCATAATTACCTTTAAAAAAGGCTAATAAAAACGTAGGTAGTAGGTATAGGAATATTAAATATATCATGATAATTACTATGATAGATAAAGTCATTACGCTATGGAAAGAACTAAAAAGAAGATTGTGTAAAGCAGAAATAAGTATATAAATACAGGGTGTTCTTTTAAATAGGACAGGAAGGGGACGGAATAAAAAATTGGAAAAATTCATATTCTCTTATGCGAGACTCAATTGTCATAAATATTAATAATTATGTAATCCAAAATAAATCATTAAGAGCAGTATCTTCTATCGCTGTAAGGATGTGTTCAGACTAAGCAAACAAGAACGTAAAAAACGAACTAAATAGATTTAAATGACAATAAATTAAACTATCAAAGATGGTAGGTATACGTGTGCGAACATTTCGTTCGCTTAGTCTAAATGCATCTTTACACCAACGGGAATGGTAAGAAGTAAACCGCACCGTTTAAGCGGTCTTTATACCAGTCAGAGAATGAAAAATCATTTCTTTTTTTGTTTGTTGTTTACCTGATCTATTCAATTGCCTGAGCGTCCTTTTGTTCTTGTTTGACCGAATATTCTACTAAAACAAATGTCACAGTTCCCACTATTGCCAAAAACACAAGTATACCCAATTGAATTGTTAAAAGTACATAACTCGCGTAGAAGAATGAAGCTGCAGTTGCTACTGACTGAAAATTAAAAAAAAATACGAATTAGGGATTAACTAATAGAAGAAGGAGTAATTGTAGAAACTCAATAATTATTTTTTTGTGCTGCGATTTTTATATTTATTTAATTTTGAAACCTGAAAATGTTTTCTTGAATTTTGTTAGTGTAACGCTTACCTCTATAAGACTTAGGGGTTATTCATAAAATACTTTCGCAACTAAGGGCGAGTGTGACGAGATATAACAAGGGTAGAGGAGGGGTCCAAAAAAATATGACGTTCACATTTCATCCATTTTATTTTAATGTTTTTCTTAACTTAAAATCGTTTATTGGGAAGAGCTAGCTTTTGTGACGTAATATTTGTTAGGGGGTGGTGACGTATTTTATGGTCGACCCCTTATTCGTATGTGTTTATACAATTGTTATCTAGTTATCTTACCTGAACAAATTTGAAAATTGCAAACGCAGAGGCACTAATATCGGCATATATGCTTCCCAATATGGAAAAAACTTGAGTGTTATAACAAGCATCTCCAAATCCCAACAAAAACGAACAAAGAATCGCCAAAGCTGGAGAACTTGTAATAAAAGCTTTGTCATCTGTGTCCCCGAATGGTGAATTATTTGGTAAATTTAGGAATGTAATAAAATAGGCAGCTACGTGGAAAATAAACCCTGCAATTACAATTGGGTCTCTACCCCATCGAGAGAATCTTGATCCCAGTATCCCAAAAAGGGCACCACCTAAAAAAAAAGAATTTTGTTCATGTCTGATAAGTTTCTATAAATGTACAATGTTTTGTACGCTTTAAGGAGTTTTAGTGATAAAAAGTTCCATTTAAATGAATAATATGCGAAAAAAGTGTTTTTGCTCCGCCACTACCAGTAAATAACTTATCAATTTCATAAAGAATCTTACTGATACGATTTTATATTGGAAGATAAATTATTATCAGGTTTTCAACTTCACAAATTATTTATCGAGTACAGAACAATACAACTAAAAGAATATGTTTCTTTTAATCAAAAACCTATAATGAGGTACTTGTACAAATTATGTTTCGAATTCTATTATTCCGATAAATACCGTTTTCAAGTAATTAGTAACCTGAACTAAAATTGATACTGAAAATAATTGTATTTACCAATAATTTCTCCAAGTCCAATAAAAATCCCTGATAATCCAACAAGCTGTTTGGCTTGGGATCCAAACTGCTTAGTAAATCCAATACAAGAACTGTAAACACCACTGAAGAAAGATAGAGAAATTCCTTAAAAAAAGAAACAAAAACAATTAGAAACAGATTAAAAGAAGTATATAGATGTAAAATTAAATGTAATGTTACTTTCATTTTTAGAATTTATTTCTTGAAAAACTATCAAATCTGTCAATTTCGACTTTTGTAGAGTTCAAATCAATTGCTCACAAACAGTGCTATAACTTACTACTAAAGTCGTGAATACTCAGGGAAAGGTTTAAATTTTATGCCCTCAAAATTATAGTACTTAAAGAATAGAAATAACAGTATAATTGCAATTTGATGACCACAATGGCATTGCACATAATTTAGAGGAGAAGTATGAGGATTAACAACAGTATGATCTGAAGAAACATAACATTGACTTTTTTGTATGAACAAAAAGATTGCAGGATTTAGGGATTTCTTGAAAAATATTTATTAAATTTTTATTTTATACTGGAGTTAAGTTGGTCGTGTGGATCTGACTTTGTTTGGTATTGTACTGATTGGGAAATTGTTCGATTTCAAATAAATACAAATAAGTATGTAAAGAAAACTGGGAAAACTTCTTGAAAATAAACCAATACATTTTCAGTTTACGTTAATAATAACGCTTAATAAGTTCATTGAAATCCTAAACAATTTTAATAAAAAATCATAATTGCGTAAATAGGGAAAGCATCAAATTTAGGCAGAAATTTACGTTACGCCACTGGTCAAAAGCCTTTTTCACTGCTGTTAATAAATAGATTTTAACTAATAATTACTATAGAATTTATTGTCATTTCACTGCACTCAAATGAAATATTTACCGGATTATCTTAAGTAAAAATAAAAACTTCACAAAACTTGTACCAAATTTCCCTTGCGGGGTTTGTGAGTGAGCCTCTTGAGTTCTGCGCCCCTGATAGTCATCAGCCCCTAAATACGGCATTTCTCATAAAATAATAATCAAATCAAAACGTAACACCTTAATACTGGTTTCCGTCTTTTATAGTGAAAGTCAAATGAATATTATTACTCACCTGTATAGAAGAAGGTGAAACACAGAAGTAACATTTTTCTTGTACGAAATAATTTAATGGCTCCAATGAAAGCGTCTCTAGGGCTTTGTTGGACTTCAACTATGTCTCCTTCTTCGAACTGTGGTTTTGGTAATAACAAAAATATTCCAACCCCAACACCGGCAACTACACTCAGAACAATTACTGTTACATTTCGTGTAGATTTATCTATCTCCGTTAATCCTTGAAATTGGAAAAATACGAAAAGATTGCCAGCAAACATGCTGACTTGTAATAAAGCCCAAAAAATTCCTGAATTTCTCGATATAGTATCTTTAGTCGAATTTAAAGTTAGATAATTTCCTTGTCCTGTCCAAATTAGAGCCGCCCCTGTACCGATTATCACACTTGCTAGATAAAGTAACCATGTTTTTGGAGACAGGAACGTTAAAATAAAAAACCTGAAAATAGAAACAAAAATAAATTACAAGATTTTAATATTAATTTAATAAGAAATCGTAATGCCCAGTTATTTATCTTTGGAAATAAGTTTTGAAATAAATCAATATAAATATCACGTAAATTACTGTATTATTAATAAATAGATCAGGGATAGGCAAAGAAAAAACATTTCCTATTTCATGTAAATATCCAGATACTATTTATAAAATTGCAAATATTCTTTTAATCCGGACCTGTTAAACATAAGATTTGTTTTTCTGTAGCTTGTAGTTGGTATTAACAAATAATGTTGGCATCATTTTTAAGTAGGTATAGAAGAATAAAGAATTCTTTATCGAAAACGATCTATCGAAATCGACAATTTCTATATAGCATAGTTTTATTAATTTCACAATGAGGAATTGATTGGCATTCTTTGTTATCATACATTGTTCTTATTATTGTGGCGTCCTCATTTTGTACTTTTATGACATTACTGTTAAAATAAGACGAGTACAAAAATAGAATGAGACTTTATTAAACTTTTGTCACATATTTTAATAAATTAATACGTACAAATAGGTTATAGATCCGTATATCATGACGATTCTTGGTCCTGTACTCGATATTATTGAAGGTGCAGACCAATTGAACAGCGAAAATATGGCATATATAAGAGCTAAACTAATGTAGCCATCACCGTTAAAATTTGGATCTTCATTGTTTTTATAGCTGTCTAATATTGTTTTCTGAAATAGAAGAAAAAGGCCTTACTTTATATCAAGAAATATAATGCGGTTGATAAATGAATGAATGAATGAATAATACAGAATTTTAGTACACTAATTTACATTATTTTTCATTACATTACATTACAAAATATAATTTGAAACTGCCACCAAAAATGTTTAAAGTCTAAATAGATCACACATAATCCTTATAATTATTAAAGATAAATGCATTTGGTTTAAATTAAACTGCTTTTACAATATTGATAACATGATCTTCCACAATAATTAAAGGAATTATAGTTAATAACTGTTTAATAGGTACGTATAAAATTATTATAGGTATAGTTAGGACGATCAAAATTGGTACAGTCCGCAATAAATTATCTGTGAGAATGGACATATCACGTCTAGTAAAGACAAAGTGAAAAGAGATAACCGAATAATAATAAGCGGTACAGCAATTAGAAGTTGCTTAGGTACGCCAAAGTTCAGGATCGGCTTTATAACTGCCTGGTTGGAATTATATCTTTAAATAAGCGTCTTTTCTTTCCTAAATTCCTGAGAATGTTGAACTTTCTTTAAAGTCCGCAACATGCTTAAATTCTTCTTGTCTACATTCTCTCTCTTTTATACATTAATTGTGTAATGTTATTCCTTTTTCCTTAATACTGACCGCTGCAATACCTATCTGACATCTCTTTTCTATGCTTACGATATTCCCTACGTCTGTCGTGACTAAAGATAGGCGTTCTGACAGCAACTGCTCTAGTCTAGTTAAGAAGTTGAAAGAAGTAAATGTGACAGTTTTATTATGGACTACGCCAATTTGAAACGTCCCAACTATATCTACCACGTTATTTCAAATGACTATAGTAACAAATTAAGGTGATTTAATTTTCGGTTATTTCACTATTATGTTCATTGTACAAAGTCAATTCCTACGTGCATTCTTATGAAGGAAATAAAAAGAATTAGTAGAAAGCTATTAGTCTGTTTAAAAGGGGTGATACGAGAGCATCAGGGGTCTGATTAGAACAAAAATGTGATTTTATTAATAGAAATTAACCCTCGATTTAATCCTCGTGAAACTATTTATAACAAATTTAATTGTTATAACCATTTAACAATTAAAAAAGTAGCCTAAATCATCCTCGATGACCTCCTATTCAGGTCTGTAAAGTTTCATCGAAATTGGTTCAGTTGTTTCGAAGATTAGCCCGTATACGAGGGTGGATTGATAAGTTTCCGGCCTAACCAAGAGATGACGCCACTAGGCCTACCTTGAGGTGACATTCTATAGTACCATCCTTGGATAGCTTGTAGCTATAGTTTCAGCCCGATCTCCTTGCTAGTGTAGGTTTGACAGCACGCTGAACAAGACGCCTCTGTGGTTTTCGTAAAAATGGAAAAGCAGGAAAATCGTGCTGTCATCAAATACTTTTATTTGAAGGGGTTAACGCCGAAGGAAATTAAAAAAGAGATGGACTCAACACTGGGGACATCCTCCCCGTCATATTCAACCGTTAAGCAGTGGGTTTCCGAGTTTAAAAAGGGTCGTGTGAGCACCTCTGATGGGCCTCGCTCAGGACGCCCCGTTGAGGTCACAACTCCAGATATGATCGAAAAAATTCATCAAATAGTGCTGGGAGACCGCAGATTGAAAGTGCGTGAGATAGCTGAGACCTGTAAGATGTCATATGAACGTGTGCAACATATTTTGCACCAACATTTGCATATGGAAAAGCTCTGTGCAAGATGGGTGCCGCGTTTGCTAACAGTCGACCAAAAATTGATTCGAAAAAACATTTCTACCGCAAATTTGTCATTGTATAAGCGTAATCCAAGCGAATTTTTGCGTCGATTCGTAACCGTTGACGAAACGAGGGTCCACCACTACACTCCTGAAACCAAAGAACAGTCTAAACAGTGGATTGGACCAGGGGAACCAACTCCAAAGAAGGCAAAAACAATTTTTTCGGCGAACAAGGTTATGGCTACTGTTTTTTGGGATGCAAGAGGTATTATATACATTGATTACCTTGCAAAGGGTAATACTATCACTGGTCAATACTACGCAGACTTATTGCAACGTTTGAGCCACGAGGTGAAAATTAAACGACCTCATCTGGCGAAGAAAAAATCTTGTTTCATCACGATAACGCACCAGCGCACACGTCAATCGTTGCGACGGCTAAAATCAACTATCTAAAGTTTGAATTGATGCCGCACCCTCCTTACTCTCCAGACCTAGCCCCGAGTGACTATTTTCTGTTCCCTAATCTCAAAAAATGGCTTGGCGGTAAGAGATTTGCGGACAATGAAGAAGTAATCGAAGCTGTAAATGGTTATTTTGAGGAGCTTGACGAATCAGTCTATAGAGATGGCATTAATAGACTGGAACACCGCTATGAGAAATGTATCAGCCTTGGAGGAGATTATGTTGAGAAATAAAAAAAAAAATTTTTAAAAACCTTGTTTTTCTTGGTCAGGCCGGAAACTTATCAATCCACCCTCGTAGACAAACTGATAGACACACTATAATTTTTTGAAAGGTTGTTTACATCTTAATAACACTTCAATAACTGGTTGAACTTAAAACAAGGTAATTATTTCGAAATTATAGACAGATATACTTCATAATTTATATGTATAAGGTGTACAGATAACGTATAATCGGCAAGTTGAGATAGTATAAAATTTTTGTAAGGTTACAATTGAATTAGAATTGCTACTTTCGAAAGTTTTTCATTTAGGTGATTTGTCGTCAAAGCTTTTATTATTCGCTATTTACCTAGACTTTTAGGCTTGCTCTAGACCCTGTGGAAATTAGTTCCACTAATTCATCCCTCTGAGTGATTTTTATTCAGTATACTCTTATTAATTATCATTTTTTCTCAGTGATGCATTCCCATATTTTTACTGATATTATTTTTTAATTTTTTTCGTCTGTATTTTTTAAGTAAGTAGGTAATGAATTTAATAAACAAAATATGTAACAAGTAATCAAACTTGACATTTCTGCTGATGATGGTAAATACCAATTTAGGTTACAGAAGATAAAACTGATATAATGGCACTTGTAATCGCAATATTATAAACAATTTATTGAGTTATAAGCATATTGATCTACTTTCTCAAAAAACGAAATTTTATATTGTTCCAGTAACATAAATACATACCAGCAGAAATGGAATATAGTGTACGCAATCTTTTAACTAATTAATTAATCTCACTGATACGAATACATACATGTACGTATCCAAAGGAAATAAATAATAAAAATAATGTCTATTCGATACTTAAAGACAAACAGCTGGTTTATAGCGTAAAAATGTCATTGCAGATGGATGATTTTAGTGTTTGTTTGAATTAAACTTTTGCCATATACATATACGATTAAGCAAGGTGTTATTTTAAAATATTAACACATACAAATAGGTTGTATATACTAAATGGTAAATTTGCAGGACTTGAAAAACTGACGTTATATTAACGTTGTCGTTATAACCGATATTGTTATAACCAATAAGTTCCATTATATATTATGTAGTAATTTTTTGTGGGTAGGTAGAAGCTTGAATCTTTTAGGTAGATACATGGGACTCCAGTATCTGCTATTTATAATTTTAACTTAATACATTCTGCGCTTCTAACCACTAAAAAAAGGAAGAACCTTTAACATGAAAATGACGAAGTAGCCTCAGCCCTAAGGGTTTTCTTCTAATATTGTAAAGTACAAAACTCTAAATATGAATTTACTGAATAATGATAAATAATAATGTATTAATAGCGTTTTCATTAAGGATTCTTTCGGTAACAGATGTTTTGTGGTTTTACATATAAAATCTCCCAGTACCTACTTACTTTGGTCATAACTTTTAAAATAAAACATGAACAATTATTCTTCTTTCTCTTCCTCTCTTTCTGTTTCACTCTCTCGCACACGCTGTCTGTAATTATTATTTAATAGCTACTAAATATCTATTTATACAATACCCATATGCATACATTATGTTATGTGCTACCCACAAATCAAACTTTTACTTTCCTTAAACACGAATGCAGGCAACATTCCATTTGATAGAAGTAGTAAAATACGTTATCTTAATTCAAGGTTTCTAGTGTTTTAAAAATTCGTTTGGAAATTGGAAATACATAAATAGCTTTGCCAAACAAGTTAGCGTAGAATTTTTGAGATCAGACTAGAAAAATAGATGCTATAGTTAATTAATAAGTATATACTAACTAATTAGTTGTAATGCAAATTAACATGAACAAAACTAGCCGAACAATGAAAATGATGCAATAAGTCGGTAGCGATAGTCAGCAATTTTTAAAAACAAACAGTATATACCTTATTTATCTTAATCATTAAAAAAAAAACAAATTACAAAAAAATAGTGAGTGAAATTTCTGAGACATTATACACTACGTAAGAATGTTAATTACTGATGTAGAAGCACTTACAGTCGAGAACATAATAATTAGTTGAAAGTGTTAATGAATGATAATTAGATACCTATCCTGGGGCTTCTGTCTTTACTTCCTTTAAAGCCGAACAAACAGAATAGCTCAAAACTGAAGTTTACTTCAGTCCCTGAAGAAGGTAACTTTGTTACCGAAAAGTGCTTCGGACAACTACAGTGTCGTGTTTTGGCGTTGGGGTTTTGAGCTATTCTGTTTGTTCTACAACAACCGCCAAAGTTTTTCCAATCTTCATATTTCCTTTAAAGCCCTTCATCTTGCAAATGGTCAACAATATAACGTATCGGCAACAAGTTTTAACTTTTCCTGGTTTCTAAAGATTTCTTCAGCATATATATTTATGTAGAAACGTCCTTGTGGACATTCTTTTGCTTGCATTCTATCTACTTTTTAATGCGACAGTGTTACATCAAACGTTTTTTCAAGGCGCAAAATATTTTTGTCTATTATATATATTGATCTCTAAAAATATGTAGGAAATCCTAATATATAAATTTANTGATTTCATTTAATTGTAAAAGTTTTCTGTTCTT